CAGTCTATATTATAATTCCATACAAGACAACAAAAAAAAAAACATGAAAAAAGCGGAGTTTGTGACGATTATATTTTTCATTGAAAAACAATTAAATGATATTTGTTTTCTAAAGGACTCTTATAAAACACCCGGACATACTTTAAATCGTTCAAAATAATACAACTAAACTACCAATCTTAAATAAATAAAATAAATTTGTTCAAACAAATACTACAAAAGAAATATCCACTCTCTTCTGTTGTATTGGAGATTTATTTAAATCGGAGAATCAGATTTAAACAATATACCCCTTCGAGGTACTAAATTCTGCTTTTTATATACCAACCTATCTAATACCTATACGATTAATTATTTTGCTTAGCCCGTTATTTTTGGACAAGAACTAAAGTCCTTTTTATGAGTTATTGTGAAATATATTTATTCCATTTTCAGCTTTAATCTATTATTAAGCTCTCAATAGGGGTCGCTGAGGGATATTGATTCCATAGACAGTATATTGAATATTTGATATTGTCTTTTTAACGCGATTGCAATAAAATAAATACAGGTTTTGTATGTTACGGTTAAATGGTTAAATATATATATTTTATTGGAAAGTTTAAAAGCATGTTTATTCGTAATTTTAACTGCCTACATTCATAAATCCCCTGCGAACGTTAAAATGTAGTTCTACAAGACGAAAGATTCGGATTGTCACATATTTTATTTCGTGTAGGGATGTTCCGAAACAATGTGGATATATTTTGATAACACTGTTGACACAGCACCCTTCAGAGTTACGGGCGAACGGCATGATTCAATATTATTGAAACAAGAGTTTTCAAATATTTGAAAGAGAAGTACTCGTTGAAAGTGTAAATATATTGGGGGATTATGATTAAACTTTTATTAATGTGATTAGTTTGAAGTTGTACGACTGTTGGGTAAAATGCCACGAAAGAAAAACATTAAGCAATATTTGACAAATACAATGTTAGACAGGGATGTTGGCGTACCAGTATTTACACCATATTCCTCGGAAACACATCTTCCGGGTCTTTTTACTGGGTAAGTTATTTTACTTCAATCGGTCGTATGGTCAAATTTGATAGGATAGTGTTTGATGTTACCTAAAATATCAAGCAAGAAACTAACCGGTCTTTTCTTGAAATTGATGAAGATAAGCATATTTTATACCATGTGACATAATCAACAGTGGTAAATCATGATAACCTTTACGCTTATTTTCTCATAAATGTGTCAATGTCTTCCAATACATTGTATAACCAGACCTTTGTTTTTATTCTGTACTACAAGACAAATCGCTAACAATGTCATCGATGTGTGTTAACTATGTTTAAAATTCCTTAAAAATATATATTTTTTCGATTTAAAAAACAATGAGTGATATATTTTACTTGTTTGTTGAAAGAGCTTGTGGATAGAATTGTATCTAATTTTTAAGAGGTAATCAGTCGTATTGAGAAAAAAATCTTGAAAAATTGTTACAATTGTATTGACGGTTTAAAATAATTTGATACCAACTGAATTATTTCACACCAATATTAATCCATTGTCCCTGTCACGATTGAAAGGTAAAAACGTACTGCAGGGTTTCAACAGATATATTTCGGTTCAAATGTTATAAGGTATCATTTCAAAATCAGTCTAAATGGACCATGTTTTGTCTGTTCATGTTTGTCTTTTTATATTCGACTAGTTTTTGGGTGTTGGTTAGTGCCATTTGTTGTACTGTCCAAAATGTTTTGCAGTTCCTGATATCTTTTTTATGTATTATTTACTCTTTCAAACGGAGCAGATTGTCAACACGTCCTTTATTTGTTTATGTTTAACAGATGCAAGAAACCTCGTCAAGGGAGGGATGTAGAGTAGTTTTTGAGAGATTTTTCTACTGTACGCGCATCCCTAAAATGTTATTTTATGGGTTATAAGCGTCAAATTAAAATAATAAAAAAATGTCGAGCTTGCAATATTTATTCCAAATATATCATATGATAAATGAAAATAAACAAGCACTTTCATCCTCCTTTCGGAATCTATGCACCTCGTAAAATTTGAAAAAAAAGACTAGGAAGCAGTATTTTATAATGTATACATTATAACTATATGTTCTATGGTTATACATTGATTCTGTTGCATTGAAACAAACAAATGTTTGAACGCAATATTCAGAGATCTTTTGTCTTTTAAGACCATCGCGTAGAAGAGACAAATACATTTTAAATTAAAAAATCAATCACTTCACTCTTGAAACTATGCACAATTTGAAAGTTTAACAATCTTTTTTTTGTTCAGAATATTGATTCATTTGTCATCATGTGATTTTCTTCAGAAACCGATCATTTTTTCTTCTTCATTGTTTTGAAAGGTGTGATCGATTTCGTGTTGTTGAAATGAAATTGCAACATCTGAATTGATAATTTATTGTAATTTTTTTAAGCTCTCCACAGAAATAATTTCTAAAGAATATGATTAAAAAAACTTGTCATCAGTTTATTAAATACACTAAAACTAGAAACATTAACACCCTCAAACAACAACAACAACTGAACCCCTGGCCTTTAATTGGGTACGTATACACAAACCATATAACAATTTTTGTTCTCTTCAATTAGAGTTACATAAAGTACTCAAAATAAAAATCAGATCACAATTTAATTCTGAATCAATAATTTTGGTTTGCTTTGAAATTTGGGTAATTGTTTTGATAGGTTTGTCGCGTTGTCATGGTACGTCAGTGTATTTTCGATAGTTTGCAAAACAGCGATAGTGTCATAAAAGTTAAGAACACAATGACACAGTAGGAAAGAACTCGATGCCCAGTAGTCATATAATTGATAACTGACGGAGAAATTTTAATTTTTTGGTATAAAGTCTCAATGTTGTCATGGTTGCCTCTGTTAGAAAGTAGACAATTATGTGACAGTCGTGTTTGATGCATGCCATGCAGATGTCATTTTAAATGAAGAACTCTTACCGTGATAAATTTTCCTGTTTAGAAGCTAAGGAATTCTGGGTAATATTTCAAAAAGCATTCACCAAAACGTTGTGATTTCTTGAAAACGTCTTTAAGGTCAAGGAACAGAAAAATCTATGTACTAGAAATTGGAATTTATATTATTTTAAGACAAATTGGAGAACAATTTTCGCCGATTTTACACGCTTTCTATACAAATGTTCGCTTATTTTGAGAGAATTCAATCGGTAATATTTCAGAATATAAAAGAGATAAATGCATTATTTTTTTCGATTTTCAGTTACATTTTTAACGAGCCTAATTTGTATACAAAATTTTACCAAAATCTGTGACATAGCCCATTTACTGTAACTTGACTTAAGAATTGTAAACGATATAGTTACTCCGTAAATAACAACGCCTGATTAATGTTTTTGGTCACTTTTAGCAGCGAAATTTACATAAATATCAACATAAAGTCGCTAACAGGACAACCAGACAATCAATTAAAAACCCTACATAGAAATCTTGAGATGACCCGGGTTAATAAGTTTTGTAGAATCTGTGTCAATAAATCTGACAGGTTTCACCTATCCATCATACCCCTGATAAGCTTTTGTAAATACTAATCCATGTAAAAAGATCTATATTTAATGATTGAAATATTTTTGGAACTATAGTTCTCCTCGACATTGTCAAAAGCATTTAGATTAACTACAGAACGGCCTGGACATTCTGATTAAAACTTTTCTTAGTTGTTTACTTATGTATAATGTATGCAAAGTAATAATTTGATAAATTGTCAAATGAGTCGATTAATTTCGACATTTTTCTGTAAGACTACATGTAGAGGGACTGATTTATAACTCTTGTAGTGGACTAGGGGATGATATATTACAATAATACTTGGAAGTATAATTTAATTCATCAACATGCAAATTAATTCAGGATTTTCGGTTATTTCAGAAAACGCTAATAAAAGGTATGTCAAAACCTTGTCTTTGAAAAGGTCCTAGAAAAATACAGTTGTAATTCAAATTACTTTCGACAAAATTTTATCTGTCAAGTTTGAATTTCAGGTTGAATAATTGGTCGTTTTTCTTAAATATTATCTAATTAATTTCATTTCTTTTTGTGTACATTTTTATATTACCTCATCAAAAGACCTTGCGGTCGCTTTTGAAGCTTACTATACGATTTTGATTTGCTGATTGTTGTAGGCCGTACGATGATCTGTATTTGTTCACGTCTTTGTCCATTGGTCTTGTGGATAGTTGTCTCATTGGCAATCATATCACATCTCCTTATTTTATACTGCATCTTACTTGAAGAACTCCTTGATATGATAGTCAAATAATATAATATTTTGAATGGGGCACGTATTGGGGATGATAATTTCTATGTTGTCTATACTGTTGAACTGGGAATACATGATTTTTCTTTAAATTCTGTAAAGAGAGAAACTTTGGAATAATGGAAGTAATGAAAAATCATCTGAACATTAATTCGGGTGTATCATGAGCTGAAGTATACAGATATGATTCAAGTTGATACGATCACCCTCATTTTATACATCTTAGATCATATAACATACACGTGATTAAAGGGGGATTTAATTTCCATATTGGATTTAAGTTACTATTAATGTATTTCAAACTATTGTACTGAATAACCATTTGTGTAGGAATGCTACTTTGAATGAACACGGCTAAAAAACTAATCTTCTTTTGTTTCTTTTTAATCTTGTTAATCAAAAACAAATACAAATGTGTACAATTGTTTCATATTAAAGAGGTCGTGACAGGACACTGTAGGCCCTTAAAATTTTCTATTCCAACTAATCTCAATTTTTTTCGAAAAAAAGCGGATGTGCATATGAAAATACTAGATTTAAAAGCTTTTTCCTAAGTACATTTAGAGACTCATAATCGAAGTCATTAAGAACAAATTACCTGGGTGTGATAAGCCAAGTCAATTTTAACCCCAATTAATATATAATAAATCATTAAATTATTGACTTTTTATTATTTTGTATTTTCAGAGCTACTTCCAGGGTAGCGTCAGAATCTAGGGAAGCCATGTTCCGAAGAGCAATGGCACTTTTGTCGGCTCGATGCACTAGCGTGCTCGGGTCACAAACCGTGGAAACTCCATTCGGAACCGTAAAACAACCTACATTCGGAATACAGGTACCACAGTATTTCTACATCAAGCAGGAGAAACCACGACCAATGCCTCCTTTAAAAGTAAGTAAAATTTGTATATTCGCGAGTGATATATGCATATAAATAAATTTATAGTTTGACTGTGTACGGATATACTTTTCTACTTTAGGAAATCGACACAGAGTGATACGACTGTTTCAAGCTTAATATATATTTTAATACTTTATACAAATAATGATTTTAAATTGTATAAGCATAATACAGTTTGTTTTGTAGTTTAACACGTGGTAGAAAATACAGAAATACTTAAAAATTATTTCTGACTAAAATCCTCGACAAGGAGTGGAAAACGACTTCAGATACAATGTATCAGCTATATTTGGTATCCCATAACAAATGTTAAAATTAAAAAAGCAAATATTTTTTTATTATAATTAGTAACTTATCAATAAATATTGATTGTAGTAAAAATATTTCTTGTTTATTCCTGTTTTGTCAACTTAGTCTCGTTAAAAACAAAGATTGAAGATTAATTTGATCAATGAATATTTTGAATTTGAATGCGCACTTTAAACTTCTTGGTGCAAACTATCAACATGGTTTTTGATAAGACTGTTTACCATTGTTTATTCATACTGGCACACCTAGTCATACGTACATATGCATGTATATAAAGCAATCAGCAAATGTTTTGTTAACTATTGTATTGCAAAATAAATGTTCTATTTGGTGCATACACTTTTGCACGGAGGTCGAATCTCTCCTTTATTACAATTTATGTAAGAAAAGCATTATGCGCATTTTGATAGACATAAATTTTAACCCAGAAAAAATGAGGAACTAAGATTTGGAGGTACACGTTTCTTTGAGCTTGTAACTTTTCTTTCTAAAACCGATATTATTTGAAAAGAGAGAGAGAAGATAATATGGGACATTCAAAACCATTACGGTCAATAAAAACATATAAACACCATGGCCAAAAGAAAAACTATGAAAAGACAAACAACAACGATAAAACACCACACAGAAAACTAAAGATTGAGCAACACGAACCCTTAATAAAACGGGGTTGAACTCATCTGCTCCGGAAGGGTAAACATTTTCTGCTCTGATAGTGGCACCCGCCTGCCATTAATAAAAAAATCAAGACAGAAAAAAATCATTCGGTACAAATTTTAGACCTATCGAACAGAAAATTACCAATTCTTATCCATTTTAATTACACATCAATATTTATCGCATATCTCGTTTTTATAGGCCTGGCAAGGATATAATGGCAACGTTTACTTTGAACCTATATCAATTGCTGGAATGCCGAATGATGTTTTAATGCCAAAGAGTGGCAAATCCCGTGGTTCTCATGTCAATGATCAAATAAATAGAATGACACCAGGACAAAAGAGACCAATGACAGAACCTAACAGATCTCCAGATAGCAGTAGTAACAGCAGATCTATTTCTCGTAATACAGGAAAGAGTAACAATTCAAAGAACCGACCATCAACTCGGCAGATGGCGCTATTAGACAAACGGACTGTTCTGAACAGATTCAATACTTCTTTAGATGACGATATCACGTTGATAGAAACAACAGAAACAACCGGAAGTCTGGCTGTAAGACCAAAAAGTGACAATATAATTGATTACAAAACCAGACATGATCAGATGTATAACAGAGAAAGAATATGCAAAGGATCTGTAGCACATAAACAATATATTGCTAAAATGCAAGGAAATAGGCCTTCTTTGAAAGTAAGTGGCGGGAAGTATTCAACCCCAGCGGTTACTTCTCCTCTACTACGCACACAAACACAGTATTCCTTAAGTAATAATCGGCTAACGACGAATAGTCCAGATTTATATGCAGCTCAACTTCCTCCTTTAGAACAGCTTCGAAATTCAGTTCGTCATATGGACAACACAAACGAAAAACAAAGCTATGGACGAGCTCGGCCAGTAACGAACGATATTAAACCTTTCATCAAATATAGTCCAGATATCAAAATCAAGCAACCAGCTGTTAATTATGTGTAGTTACGTTTCTTTTGGTCGTGTATTAGTGCTGTATTTAACTAGTAATACTCGGATGTATGCGTAAACGTGCAGTATACATATAATAATCGAAGAAAAAATCGTTGTTCTTGGATTTCATATCGGACATTACATACCTTTTTAAGCAATGTAAGTACATTTAAAAGCGTATGATGAAGGATTTCTAAGGTATCATTTGAGTATATTAAAGCTCACATAACTTCATAAATGTGCCAAACTGAAGTTTCGAACTTACATGCAGACCATTATTGCTTAACTGAAGGTTATCGAATATTCATACAGTAATTTAAACAACATAATTTCCGGAAGTAATTCGTGTTTATTATTTCAATTCTAATATGGATGTCAGTCTTTCACTCTGTTTCACGTGTACATTGTAGTGCTATGGATCGTTTTTTGTTTTCGCTGGTGTTTCGTTATTTCGCAACAAAAATGTTCATCTAGAGTGTAAAATTTGGTGTAAATTCTGTTATATAACGGCCTCTTCAGTATTACTTATAATAGTCGGTATAAGTTTATTGTGGTGATTTTGTAAAAAAGTAATTGGAAGCTTTGAAAGGACTTGAAATGTGCAACTTTCGATTTGAATCTTCCTTTTTGATTGTGAAATCTTTAAGGTATTTTCCAATGCAATATCATGAATGAATTACCAAGCAGTTCGGAATTCAAATAACGAATTGTTGAATCAGAATTATAAGATATCAGAGCACCTGGAAAATAAACATTTTACTTCGTAGATTATAAATCTGTTGACAAGATATAAGTTACAGGAAAAGAAAATCTTTTAGTTCGTAGATTATGAAGTATAAAAAAAAATAGGTAAAAACTTTGGTAAGGAAGATTCAGACAGTATAACAATCGTTAGTGGCAAGATATCTTAAAACGAAACACAGGCACTTATGGATGATAGGAGAAGTCGAAGTCTGTATTTTATTGATACAAGAGCCTGTGATATATACCAATACATTAAATAGCTACATACTTTTCGCTTTTAAGATTTCGTTGATCATTTACTATCATAAAATACTTATTTTATCTAACGTCATCCTTGTGCATTAGAAAATAACCTTTAAAATGTTCTGCTTAAAACAGTTGCCTTTACTTTTACACAGTTGCCTTTTCCGGTTTCAAATTAAGTGTCATTATTTTCATACTCTCCATTAAAAGTTTAAATTATTAACCTAAAATAGAGTTGACGTTAGATATGAATATTATAACTTAGGATAGATGTAGCAAAATTGTATAGGTTTATTTCCGTGAGAATTGTTACAGATCAAGTATTGGGACCATAGTCGTTTTAGATCTCATTACAGTGTTAAATTCTGAATATGTAATTTAAAAAAGGGAGCAAAAGATCCCCTATTGGGGGATTGGGTCAATTAAAAACTATAGTCCAAGACCGGCTGACAACACCTTTGTTTAAACGTGTACAAATATTTTAAGAATGTGTCAATTATTTTCATAGCGTTCCCAAATATCACAATAACAGGACGCAAATTTAACTTGGCGATGTTTATTGTGTTGTATGAATTTAGAGAAGAATAATTTGTACTTTTTAAAATAATGATAATTTTGAAAAATAATTTAATACCTTAGTATTGTAAAAATCGGTGACTATCTCGGTTTGTATTTAGTTGGTACAATGTGTTTCATTTGTACTGCCGTAGGGTATTATGTTGCCAATAGTATTCAAATATATACCGGTTAATCACATCTGTCGTAACTCTTCTGCAAGTCATATATTGAAGGATGCATACCAGCATCTATTGTCTTTGAAGTAGCATATCTGTGATATTTACCCGTAAATTGTGTGTGCATTGCATCTGTTTTCTTATGAAAATTGTAATTATGTATGAAACCTAAATTAATAAAAAATTATGTAGAAACTCTAATTGTTACAAAAAACATAATGGTGATTTTAATCACTTTGTATATATTACAAAGGTAATACATATACAAATTCCAGTAGATATCGCAGTTCTTTACAAAAAGAAACATGCCATTTCCTGAAAAAAACATACTTTTAGATGTTGTTTTTTTTTTATTCCATGGTATTGTTGACGCTGTCTTTCAAATTATACCCAGATCTCCTTTATCAACAAACCAACAACAACAACAAAAAACTACAATAAACAGACAAGTCCAAATGATATATGTTGAAAATTGTAGATTAAGCTTGCAAAGACGACACATACAGATATAAAAATAAGAAGATGTGGTATGATTGCCAATGAGACAACTCTCCACCAGAGACCAAATGACACAGAAGATTTTAGTTCATTTCTAAAGCTCTTTCCATTTCCTTCCATTTTATAGTTTCTTCATTCATTTTCGTTTATCAAGTTCGTACTCAATTGATTTTTGCTCGAGGCAATGTGAAATTTTAGTTTTTCTTTTATAATTAACATATACATCCCGATCAAAAAAAGGACTGCTTATTTTCAGATTCATTTATCGACTTTTTCACGAAACCATAACAATTTTATTGTGCATAAAGCATATTAATTTTAGTCTATTATTCAAACTGTTTTTTTAAACCAATGAAAAGCCATCGTTTAATCAATAGTTCGAGTGCCACGGATAAGTCATGTTTACACAAAAAGCGCATCTGGCGTACCAATTCATAAGCTTATGCATCGTTTATGCATTATGTTTATTTCTGGTTTGTGTTTTGTATATGAAGAAGTATTCCTGTCTACCATTTTACTGGCAAGTCAGACATGTATTAGCCAATCAACAATTGTTCTAATGAAAGATTTTCCTTAAACATTGATTAGTATTATATATAGACATTGATTCTTGAATGATCACTGAAGGAAGTTCTCGTGAAGTGTATTCCTATTCTGTGTGTATGATAATAAAAAAAATGAAATTATTTAGCTTCTCAAGAAAAATGAAAAGAAGCTTGCATTATCCGTTAACTTCAATTTCCTCTATATGATGTCCTTTCACTGAATAATTCCAAATTTGGTGGCTTTGTTGTCTGTATGTATCCCAATGCACTTGAAATAAAGGATACCACAGATACAGTTAAGTCTGACTCATATCAAAACTTACATCCAATGATTGACAATGAAGGTCGGTCAAGCACTAAATTATGATTTAAATTTCCCCATTATGAACTTTCCATATCTGTATAGGAATATTCCAGCAGCGCCATTATTTGGAAAATATATCTACAAGTTGACCAGTTAATTCAGTACTTTCGTGACCCGTCATGGTATCCTTGATAGGAGGTAACTGGTTACATGGAAGCTATTGCATCAAGGGTTCCGAGTGGTAATGTTGAAGTCATCCCCTCGAAAATTTTACGGACGCCATCATGATTTAGTTTACCGTTATTGAATATCGGTTTTACAGATCACCTGGTGTATATTCCATTTGTCTTATCCATCACCCGGTGCTCTTGTCATCTATTGTGGCACTGCCGAATACAACTTATCGGATTTTTACGTGCACGAACAACGTGACGGGTGCCAAATGGGGAGAAGGAACTGCTTACTCTGTTTTGGTAGGGTTCTTGTTGCTCACTCGTTACTTTTCTGTGATATGCTTTGTTATTGTTTTTTTTATTTTTTTCGTCGTTTTTATTTTTATGCATTGGTGTTTTCTACTTTAATTGGTATTATGATTTATGATTGCCTCATTGGTAACTTCTCTGTCTTTAGAAATACACAATGAAAAAAAAATGAAAAAAAAAAAATGGAAAAAGCAGTTAAGCTAGACGACTCCAAGGAATGCCCTCATTTTGACGAGGATGGATAATCCACTGTCTATATAAGTAAAAACCCTCGTTTGTTCGTCGAGTTTATGCTTTTTAACTTAAAGCATAAAAAATAAAATATACTTTTTTCATATTTTAGTTAAATATTGAGAGAGACAGATAGTTTTTAAAAAAGCATCACAAATATTAAGTCTATAGTATAGTTACATTAAAGAAAGTGAGATAGCATTGTCTTATACGAAACGTTGTTTCACGTGGCATATCTGATCAAAATGCAATTAATATGATTAATATGTCATTTAGTCCAATAAGGTCGAAAGTTTTTTCCTGTGTATTCGATGAAACATCTGTCTTAACTATCCTTTCTGGAGGCAAGTCCAGATGAACAATCATTGAAAATACCATTATAGCTTACTATGACAAATATGATTAATTAAATTCAACAGAATCATCCCCACAGCGCACCATTTATTTCAATGGACTACATAAGTTTACCGGACGACTCCAGTATGATGGTATGTATCTTTTGTGCATATACCATGTATACATGTATGTTTGTGTTGGCATCATTTTTTATATCTAAAACCTTCTATAAGTGACAAATATAAGAATTCGAAACATTTGTTTGATATAATTTTCAAAGACGATTAATATTAAGTGTAGTTAAGCAATAGTAGATTTAAATAACAAAAACAAAAAAATTTCAATAAAAGCAATTATACGTTCATAGCACTCATCCATACACGCTAAATAAATGATAATAAATAATTTCACAAATGATTTATAGATGATTGATTCCTAGATTTTTTTCATTTGTATGAACATACACATTATTCCTTCACAATCTCATTTCAATTGGTTTAAACCATCACTTAAGATGCAGCATTTTTAAAATATTTTCATATTTTAGGTAAACATGGTAAATTGAATGATACAACATGTTCAGATTTGGTTAAAGTAAGTCAAAGCAAATGACTTCAATTCATCAGTATGTTCAAGCTGCCTTTTTCATATTGTTCGATCCTTAAAGCTCCTTGTAGCAGACATTCGGTATTATTTTGTGATGAACAATGTTTTTCATAATTTTTCAACGTACTCCTTACTGGATTAATATCGTAGCTGGTCCAATTATTTCTTACTTGACAATCTGGATGAACATAATAGTGTTTGTAGCGTTTTTTGACAAGCGAATCAAAACACCTGTTACAATTCTATTGCAAGGATTAGCGATATCGGATAGCCTTACCGCATTCTGTACATACGGACTTGTGCCTTTGTTTGTTCATCAGTTTAGAGATATTGGGATAACCAACACAGATGACAACATTCAAATAGGAACACCTGTAGGTTTTGGACTGGGCGCACAGAAAAATTTTACAGTGAGTGATATTACAAATTTAGTTAATATCAAATATCCCTATTGTATTATCCACTATTGTGCTACTCAGCTGGCTGACAGTTTCCATCTTGTATCCGTGTTATTGACCGCTTCTCTTGGTTTGCAGAAACTCTTAGCTGTAGCCTTTCCAATCCGATTTCGAATAAACATCACCAACAGAAAATCAGTTATTGTTTGTTGGATTTGCTTTTTCACTTCGATGATGATAAATATACCGAGGATTTTTGTTGTTCGTCTAAGGTCCATAGAAAAGGACACATGTTTTGTCTCTAAGCCGAACAAATTACTAGAGAAGTATGTATTGATGTTTCATCCGTTCTTGTTTCTTTTCTTGCTGGTTTCTGCAGTAGTTATAATGACAATTTCTTCATTGTATATAGCGTTCATACTTTGCTATCAGAAAAGAATTCGGAGAAACGATTCACTCCCAATGTGTAAAACTAAAAGGAGATCGAGTATCTTGATTTTGTGCATAGTTGTTGTTTTCTTATTATCCGAGATACCGCGTTTACTTATCAATATTACCGTATTCAACACATACAAGTCTGATATGAATAAGGAAGACATCGTTTGGAAAAAAGTGAAGTATGAGATAAGCGACAAATCTATGAAATGTCTAGACAGACGGCAGCTCAGATTCGTACAAAAAGTTAACTCTGATTTAAACTTAAATATAAGTATGTCTTGCCAACCTGATATTGATTCGTCGCACAATTATAGCGTTTGGACAAATTATGTAGTTCATACGTTGGTTGGAAATACGTATGAAGATTACAGAAAGCAACTTTCCAGTAAGATTGATCCCGAATATAAAGAAATGGTTACAACTATTATCCAAAAGCTGACTGGACTTATGAAAAATAATACTGAACGAAGTTTGACGAAACTTATTGATATAATTATCTGTAACAATATCAGCAAAGTTAATTTTGAAAAGATTAAACGCTCCTATGAAATGGCCATCTACTCGTGTGACATAAGTAAAATCCCACCTATACACAAACACTTTTCCTATCTTATTCTAGGGATCACCCCATACAGTGAACCTATGAATTACATACTGAATATTGTATGGGGGAAATTCGACATCACTCTGGGAAAGTTGAAAATTATCATGGAGATTCTTAAAATATCAACCGTAGTCGGATGTGTTTCTAATTTCGTCATCTATTTTTTAATGAGCAAAAAACTAAGAAGGGCACTAAAATTTTCTAGAAATTTGCCATTCCTTAATTACAAAAAAAGAGTTGTAGCATGGGAGTTACAAAGATACAAAGTGTCCACGAAATCTATAAGTACCGATGCTACTGAAACTGATACTGAGTTTGTATTGGACTAAAGTTTACATTTAAGAAACAGTTGATAGATATATCTTTTATGTGAGGATGTCTGTATTCTATTTAATTCTGTTGAATTTACTACCACTGGGTTGACACTACAACTTGAAGACTATTATTTCCTTAAGATTATTACCTTAATACATCTGTATATGACCCATTGTTAAAAATAATAAGGACATTTGATTATTTTTCAGCTGATATATTTTTTTCAAATAGTATGAAGTCTAAGGTTGCAGTCGCTGGTTTCTTCAGATCTTTTTTGCTTTATATGTTTTCCATATATTTATACAATATCAAAAACATATTATTTATTTCTTAAATATTATTTCCTTCTGTCTGATGAAACTGGGTTTAAAGTTGTTTTAGCGGCGATAATGCACAATGAAATATCGATTAAGTTATGTTTGCATATTGTTAATATGTATATGTTCCCTGCAAAATTTTGGTTTATGAGAATAAAGTATTCCTTCTTTCAATCATCCTTTCATTCATGTTACATCCACGTCGTCTGTCATTTGTATCATATGGAGAAAAAAAAAAGCATTGACATATTTCAAGTACGTCTCTGATGTACAAAATTTTAAGCCAACTTTCTATGATCAGTTTATTATCGTAAGACAATAAAAATGTTATTGTTTCTAACATTAAGAGTACCATTGACCGTCCGTCCTTCCGTTCTTCTGTCTGTCCGTCCCATTTCGTTGCAAAGCTTGAACGGGGGCATTCGTGTCCGCCGACATATTCTTCTTTTATTTGACCCCATATACGGAGTGAAAATGGAACAAAACAAAGGTTTACTCAAAATCGTCGACAAAAATTATGAGAATTAACTAAGTGATCACAAGAAAAGACTGTCTACTATATGCGGGTTTTCTGTCTGAATACCGGGTCTGCACAGATTTTTTTGGGGAGACAATACATTCATAAGACATGTAACGAAAAGGGGTATAACAAATTATTCTGGAAACAAGTACTCTAAAAGTTATGGTATTTTTTCTTTTGTTTGTTTTGTAGAGTTTGTAATCCTAGGTTTCCATTCACTCATCAGGTCATATGTTTAATCAAATGCAATCTAATTAAACAGATTGAATCAAATGGACCTACTTTCAAAGTTATCATTAATGCATTTTTCAGCGACTTTGGATGTTGATAGCAACACAGAAGTTATGTACACTTTTCTGATATTGTCTGTTAAGTCTACATCCATTCTTCTATGTGGAACTAGATTTGCTTTTCCTTCCCGGAGCACCTAAATTCACCACCATGATTTTTGTTGTCTATGATTTTTTTTGGTTGGAACGTGATGCTGAGTCTTTAGTTTTCTGTGTTTTGTAGACTGTTGTGATGTTGAGTCTTTAGTTTTCTTTGTTTTAGTAGACTGATGTTTGTCGTTTTTCAGTTGTTTGCCATTGTGCAGTCCTTTTTTACGACTTCTGATTTTGTTTTGTACCTTTGGTGTCTTCTGTCTTTTTTCTTCTTCTTTCTTAAACGATATGCCATGAATAGATTTCTTTAAAACTAAATTCAAAGCGATAGTTTGTTGCTGAACACTAGCTGCAAATAATTCTATTGGTCTTTTTGTATCGTCCATTTTATGATAACTCTTCCCATAAGCACAAATGGACTGATGCGTGCGCAGATTCACTAATAGCCATTGGGATGCTTTTTCCGTTTTATGAGTATTAGACAACCACCATCAAACTTATTCATAACTATGGAGCAAATTAATCAGTGTGCAACAGTTAATCTATTAGATAGAAAAAAGTAAACATACATAACACATTATAAGGGAAGTAATCAAATGAATAAATGGTTTAGATTCATTTAAATAAAAAAAAAATCAACTGCATATCAGAATTTTCGCTTTATCTATTTTGTTGTTTACTCAAAACAAAACAAAAATAACAATGTAATTTATACATTATAATAAATTTTAATTATCATACATATCTATTTGAAATTCTCCCAAAGTTCATTCACAAATGAATACAATAAATAAGACACTCAAGTAAGTAAAGTATTTGGATTACATTATACTAGTGTGTATACGCTTTTTCAGGCGTATCTGTAAAATTAAAAAGATGTGGTATGATTGTCAATGAGACAACTCTCCACCTGAGACCAAATGACATTGAAGTTAACAACTATAGGTCACCGTACGGTGAATATTGTTCTTTTTCTTGCTTTTCATCTCGCCTTACTCCTCTGAAACTAAATCAATAAATATTATAACATTTAGAATGTTAAAATGACATACATACTGACGGACCACACATTTGGTGATTATTTTTACCAAATCATGATTGATCTTAATATAACTTCTATTCATGCTTACCATATTCTTTTCCGTATCATGACTTACCTGAGGTAATCGAACATACCGGATCATTGAAGTCGCACGAATTTCTTAAAGCGAAATTAAAAACCCATAAATGATTCCTTTTAGGGTTTTTTCTTCGTGAAACAATTCTTTCAATCCATACCCACAATTAAATCAGTGAAAAAATGTTGCATCTCCATATTGCCGAGACAGAGCAATGAAAATCTGAATCAGGCCATAAGAATATTGTAGGCAAGAAAACGTGAACGTGCTGTTGCAAGACAATTTAACGTCAGGAACTCGTCTTACTGTCGTTACAACAACGGCACAGGCAGACGGGATTTGTTGATGACCATCCATGACCTAATCAATATGTAGTGACAACGCCACGTCAATAACATTTGAATACGCAACGTCATTTGCGAGACATGTTTACGACCGCAACGTCAACTGCTAATCAAGTCGCCAAATGCCATGGCAGACAGATTCACGCCATTAATGTTTCGCAAATACTAAATTAAACCCCATAATTGCCAAAACACACTGTAATGGGTGGGACAGGGGCAAAATCAGAAGGTACAAAACAGAACTCAAAACATGCCCAACAGAATTGGTTGACCTTTCTGACAATCATTTTTGCGTTGGTTACAGGAAGTCATTAACTTTAACGGTGACACATACATTGTAAAGAGGAAAACCAGGGTCTCAGGTCATACCACATGATTTGAACATTAAAAATGACGAAATCAATTCAACTTTCAAACTGCAAACTTTTTTTAAACAATGAAGTAACAAATGAAATGTGTTTTTATAGATTTACTTTACAAAAACATCATATTTGAAAATGGTAATTAAAAAGAATAAGCTATTGTTGCACTTTTAAAGTCCGTCAGTATATATATATTTATTTCCAAATGGTAGTTCAAAATCATATTAAACATGAATAAGTATATTTATAAACAAGAATGTGTCCATAGTACACGGATGCCCCACTCTCACTATCATTTTCTATGTTCACTGAACAGTAAAATTGGGGGTCAAAACTCTAATTTGGCATTAAAATTAGAAAGATCATATCATAGGGAACATGTGTACTAAGTTTCTAGTTGATTGGAATCAACTTCATCAAAAACAACCTTGACCAAAAACTTTAACCTGAAGCGAGACAGACGGACGGAAGAACGGACGAACGGACGCACAGACCGCAAAACATAATGCACCTAGGTGGAGCATAAAAAACAATATTTTGCATCAGGCAAAGTGGACATTGTATGAACTTGGCACAAACACTTGTCTCTTTTTTTCAGAGACAAGTGCCTGTGGAACTTGCATGGCTGCCTTTTGATCAGATGGCTTTTTTTTGTAAAGATTGAATGACTTTTGAAAAACGCCCCTGGTGTGAAATAAATTAAGGAAAAATTGATTCTATCCCCAATTTAAGATTGTTGTAGAAGGGAAGTGATAAAAGATTTGATGAATATATGTTTGTCTCTAGAAAAAAAACAAGATAAATTTTTGGCTTTGAGCGTTCGTGATTAATGTAAATCCAGGAATACAACCAATATAATCCCTCAAAAAGATCTCTGGGGATTATATTGGTGTCTCGGGGTGAATACGTTGTAAAATTGAAGAAGCCACATGATATTCTCAAGATACAGATCCAGGATTTTGAACGAGGGGTGGGGCAAAACACGGCAACGGTAGGAGTGAGATTTGTAAAGTATTTCCGTTCTAGCTCTGCGGTTGATATTTGTCTCATTGGCAACCATACCACATCTGCTCATTTTTATTTAACAATCACATATTTAGCTTCATAGGCTATGTTCTATATGTATCGTTTTTTGGTGCTAACAAAACTCAAGATCAAGTTCAGCAGACATTATCTAGCCTTTATAATAAGTTTTTATTTCAAGAAACACAATCAACCTGTGAAGTTATCTCTGTAAACAAAAAGAAAGCTATACAATACCTTGAAATATAACAGAACTGACGCGCGTGTTTATCGGTTGTATTAAAACAGTAGTTCTTTTTTCAATGAGACTAACATACTTACCGTATGTAATTGACAACGAACACACCGACTAATGGGAGCAATAAAGCACACACCACCACATAAGCTATCCATATATAGTCAGGTCTTTCACCTAAATAAATAAGAATCGTATTACTTCCCTACAATATTTGTCGTAAGTATGTAAAGGGACCCTTGAACTTATTGTTTTATTTTTCTTATATGCACTACTGATACTAAATAATTATACTGAATACATAACATGTATAGCGAGCTTATTGTTTTTTTTAAATTTTTTATACACTGTTGCTTTAAAAACCATTCATGGTCATTTTTTGGTTTATATTACAAGAAAATGACATATTAGATTTAACTTGTCGCCTAGATGTCTTTTATGGAAATTCATATCGTTGTGGTGTTGTTTCATTGATGTATACCCCACATTTAATTTCATTTCCTATAAAGATTTACTTAATTTCTGAATAAAAAATAATCATAGATGCTTTTTATGAAAAGACAAACATAAAGGTAAATTCAAAACTATTATCAACTTACGAAATACTTCGATAATGAATATGTCCATAGGTCGTCTTTGTTTATGCCTATTATATTTGTCTTTGAATAAATTTCTTGTTCGTGACAGAATTTTGGTAGTCTTTCTTAAATTTTTGCATTTTTGATTAAATGTATTTTTGTATGTCATGGCTACCAGTTTTTATTTGCGGAGGAAGCCGGTGCTCCCTAAATAGATCCACCAACCTTCAGCAAGAAAACATCTTTGTCAATCAAGATCGGAGTCGAACATACCTCGCCACTAGCAGTGTTCGAACTCACAGACTGTGTGTTGACAGGATAGTGATTACTGTAGAAAAAACTACCAAGACCATTCGATCACCTATTTTTATAAAATGTATAATAATAGAAACTGGCCTATCATTATTGCTAAAGAACCGTATGATTTTCCATGGCTTTTTTTTTCTGTTTTCAAATATGTTTAAGAGTTGATGTCCCTTGGGCTTACATCCTATCTGTTTTCGTCTAAATCTTTACCACTAATAAAAAATGTTACACCAAGTTGATTTATACACACAAGTGTAAATTTATGACTAGATGTATACATATATCCCTACTAAAAATTAAAGAATTTTATACTACTAATGTACTAAAGTTCATACCTTTTACTTTTGAATATACGTTTGTGATGTTTGTAGTACTGGAAACGGTGGAATTTTCTGCAATAAAATAACATAAAGTAAAACCGGGATTAAAAACCGTATATATAAAACTTCCAGGAATTTACTGATATAAAGACCAGCAAAACAAAAAGTACTGTTTTTTTAAGTGGATTAATTGATTGATTGATTGATAACCATGATTGATTGATTGTTGCTTTTAACACATGCAGTGTCAAACGTTTCATGTTTATTCAGGACTAGAACAAATTAACATTAAGTACAATAGGAAGGATGACTGGGATGTAAGGTTTGAAATTTGGACTTTGATGGATACGGACAGAATTTGTACCTTGCAGCATGCAATCTACGGACCACATCAAAGGTTCTTCAACGTACAGAAAGCGTGCGTGGCGCTCATCCGTCACGGGGCATCGTATTTAATGTCCTTATTACGATCAGAAGTGGCTGCGAATTTATAAATCCCACACAACCAAACGGAGGCCCCTCTTAAGCAAAGATTTGACTGCCGGATGAAAATACCTCGTCACGAATAGGGTTCGAACTCACAAACTCTGTGTTGACAGGATAATGATTACTGTAGAAAATACTATAAAAATTAAAATTACAAAAATGCCGAACTCCAAGGAAAATTCAAAACGGAAAGTCCCTTATCAAAGGGCAAAATTAAAAGCTCAAACACATCAAACGAATGGAAAACAACTGTCATATTTCTGACTTGGTACAGGCATTTCCTTATGTAGAAAATGGTATATTAAACCTGGTTTTATAGCTAGCTAAACCTCTCACTTGTATGACAGTCGTATAAAATTCCATTATATTGACAACAATGTGTGAACAAAACAAACAGACATAATAGGTAAAAATGTCAAAAATAGGGGTACAGCAGTCAACAGTGTTTTATAATCTTAATCACTATAAAACCAAACAAATATGTCAACAAAGAAAAACAAAATGGCATATAGACAAAGCACATAAGCAAACATGAAAGACAAGAACACAAAAAATGATCAAATCACAATAACACAATGGCGGGATGTATAAATACCGAGCCACGCCAAAAGGATATTACCAAAATGGACTAAACAGTATATGTTAATCATTTACAAAGACAAATAAAATACAAAGACAAACAATATAACACTTAATTAAGATCATAAACAACATCAGTACCTAGAATCTATACATCAAGACCGTCCTGTATTATTTGTGAATTTGATACGGAATACTTATCAACTAGGTCTTAGTATCTTCCGATGAACTTTTCTAGAAAAAGGACGAGACGTTCTTTGAAATAACCCTGGTTCATCAACTTTCTGCTCAAACACTGATGACGTTTTATAAAGTCTAAGTAGTAGCTGTAAGCTCTGGAATACCGAATGAGTTGGGAAATGTATATCCCATATGCAGGTGATGTTAGTATATTGCTACTAAGGTGGGGGAAATTGATAATTTCAAAATTAAAACCAAGACCATTCGATCACCTATTTTTATTATTGCTAACGAACCATATGTTGTTCCATGAAATTTTTTTCTGTTTTCAAATGTGTTTAAAGTTGATGTCTCTTGGACTTAAATCCTATCCTTTTCCGTCTAAATTTTTACCACTATAAAATGTTAAACCAAGTTGATTTTTACACACAAGTGTAAATTTATGACTAGATGTATACATATCTCCCTACTAAAAATTAAAGAACTGTATACTACAATTGCATTGAAGTGCATACCTTCAACTTTTGAATTTATGGTTGTGTAGCTTGTAGTACTGGAAACAGTGGAACTTTCTGTAATGATATAGCATAAAGTTTAACCTGGACGAAAACCGTATATATAAAGCTTGACATAGGTATACTAAACAATCGTTGTTTATATAAGAATTTACTGATATAAAGACCAGACCAGTAAACAAATTTTTTTTTCAAGTAGATTAATTAATTAATTTCTTGCTTGCTTGCTTGATTGATTTTTGCTTGTCTAACGTTCAATGTCAAATGATGCATGCCTATGCGGGACTAGAACGAATTGATATTAATTACAATAGAAAGGTTGACCGGAATGTAACGTGGGACATTTTCGCTTTGATTGATACGGAAAGAAATTGTACCTTGCAGCATGCAACCTACGGAGCCCAGCAATTTTTCGCACGTACAGAGATCCTGCGTAACACTCATCCTTCACAAGGCTTTAGCTTTAACGTCTTCATTCCAACCAGACATTGATGTGTATTTGTACATCGCACCCAACCAAACGAACACCCTCTTTAGCAAAGGTTTTACTGCCGGAAGGGCGAATCAAGGGATGACCATATGTCTATACCCCAATCTACCCTAATTTGTTGTCACATAGTAATAATTACTTGGTGCTTCGTGTTGATTGGTTGCTGTTTCATTTATGTATACACCAAATCTATTATTTTTCATATATAGAATATTAATGTCTTCACAGTCATGTAAATAAATGCAAAATAATTTCAGATAAGTTGTTGGGTGATATCAGTGGTACTAAAGTTTGATTGATTGATTGGTGTACACGCGACTTTTAGCACTGTTGGCTATTTTGTTGCAGAAAGTTTTTATTAGTGGAGGAAGCCGGAGTGCCCGGAGAGAACCACCAACCTTCGGTTGGAAAACTGACAATCCTAGTCAGTGAATATAGGCGTCGAACGCACCTGCCACATGCGGGACTCGAACTCACAACCTCAATGTTGACGGGCTAGTGTTACAGTAGTTGAAAACAAGTACATGGGCCACTCTTTTTAAGATAACATTTTGTTTTCATTATGAAGATTATTTAAACCAATTTTTTTAAGAAATCACATTTTTTTTAATTAGATAAATATACAGCGAAAAAAAAAATAACACATTAATATAAAAGAATTAACACCAAAGTTTGAATTTAGATTTTAATTGAATTTAAATTTTAAGTAAGATGTTAATTGAACGTACCTGTTGTAGCTCCATAGCAATTTATTATAAACGTAGATGAAAGTAATATCAGGGAGAAAGGCATATAAATTAAATCCATAGTCATCATATTAGAGCCATAACTGATTTAACAAAATCATAACTTCCTTATTAAATAAATTTCTAAATATATTCTTTCCATTGTTTCTAACAAATGAGCTCTAACGTGGAAACATTCCAAAAGTTATAAAATTAAATAATCCGGTTCAAGGTAATGAGCTGGATCCATATGGAACAGATGACAAAACCGTATAATCATTTGTTGATTACGATATGAATGTGCCATATAATTTACACTTGTCTTCTTTTGTTCAAACAATGAATTCCCTCTAGCAAAATCAAACTAAATATATAAAAACGATAATGCATTTCATTTATTTTCTATTTACCTATATCCCTGTTAGGAGATTTTAATTACATTCAAGTTAACATATAGTGGTGAAAAACTTCTAAAAAGAAGTCTGTTTGTTTGGCCATTTACACACAGTGTATCTGTCAACTTGTTTGACTTTTATTTGGTAAAAGTGCTAATTCACTAAGTTTAATAGTTTATTTCAAGCTAGAAGCAATACAGCCTATAGGTTTATCAGAAATATAGACCTAACTTATTTCAAACAGAATAGCACATCCTAAATTTTACGGTGATGTTGTTTACCGAGCCCGGAAATTTAGTTACGATCCGGGTAAACTTATCAATCCTTTATATAATTTTTTTTGGCGCATATACGAATAAAAAAAAACAAGGTTTACTAAAAATTAAGTCGACAAAGTGATAAGAATTATCTAGCTGATCACAAAAAAGACTATGCACTATATGAGGGTTTGGTTTCTGGTTTGTGTGCTTGAATACCGAGTCTGCACAGATGTATAGCTATATATTATTATATTTATAAGACATGTGACGAAAAGGGTATGAAAGTGAGATGTATAGAGAATAAAAGATTTTCTTGAAACAAGACTCGGAAAGTTATGTGTTCATTCCTTTTCTTTCTTATCTTCGTTTTGCTGAGTTTTGAATTGTAGGTTTTCATACAATTGTCAGGTCATAAACATAATCTAACGAAAATACTTTTTAAGTTATTATTTGTGACATTTTCAGCATCTTTAGATAGGTTGATAGCGGTACACGTTTTTTTCTGAAATTGTCAGATAATTCTTAATTTTTTCATCTATTTTTTCGCAGGATCTACTTAACCTTTCCCGAGCACCTAAAATATCCCGGCTGATTTGAGAGAGGGTCGAAAATCTGAATCTTTAATTCTCTTTGTTTTGTAGACTGTGCATCGTTTTTCTTTTTCTTTTTGCCGTTGGGCAGACTTAAAATATTTGATTGTCCTTTTGACCCTTTGATGTCTTCTGGTTCCTTTTTCTTCTTTTTGAAACAAAATTTCATGAAAAGATTTCTATAAAATAGAATTAAAAGTGATAGTTTTCTGTTGAACACCAGCTGTTAATATTTCAATTGGTCTTTCTATATCGTCCGTTTAATGATAACTCTTCATATGACACCAATGGGCTTATGCGTGCGCATATTCACGAATACCCGTTGAAATGCTTTTTCCCGTTTTATGATTATTTGACAACTACCATCAAACTTATTCATAACTATGGAGAAAATTGATCAGTGTGCAACAGTTAATCAATTTGATTTAAAAAAGTAAACGCGCATAGCATATTATAAGGGACATAATCAAATGAATGACTGGTTTAGATTCATTTAAAAATGTTTAAAAATCCAATCAAAATGTTCGCTTTATGCATCTTGTTCTTTACTTAAAAAAAAAACACAAATAACAATGAAATTTATACAAAATAATAAATTTTGATTTTATTTAATACCTATTTGAAATTCTCCAAAATTTCATTCACAAATGAATACAATAAATAAGACACCCAAGTAAATAAAGTATTTGGATTACGTTACACTAGTATGTTTACGCTTTTTCAGGCGTATCTTTTTCTTGCTTGTCATCTCGCCTTACTCTGAAATAATTGAATAATTATATTACATTTATAATGTTTATAATCTTGAAATGTCATATATATATGTTTTTATTTCCAAATGGTAGTTCAAAGTCATATAAGGCATATTAAAATAAGTATATTTATAAGAAAAAACAATATTTTGCATCAGACAAAGTTGACCTTATATGAATTAGGCTATTATTTTAGGCGCCTTTTGGTCATATAGGTCTTCATTTGTATTTGTACTAATACATCCTTGGCGTTAAAATTTTTGGTTCTGAGCGTTCGTGATGAAGGTAAATCCAGAAATTGTAATCCCTCGAACAGAGCATTGGTGATTATATTGGCGGCTCGGGGTGTATACGGTGTGAAATTGAAAAAGCCATATGAAATTCTCAAGGTACGGATTTAGGATTTTGATAAAGGGGGTGGGGCAAAAACAAGGCAACGTTAGGAGTGAGACTTGTAATAAGTGTTTGCGTTTTAGCTCTGGTGGTTAGTTGTCTCATTGGCAATCAGTTGGCACATCTCCTCATTATTATTTAACAATTATGTATTAAGATCCATGGCCTCCTCTAAATCCGCATATGTTCTCTATTGTATTGCTTTTTGGTGCTAAAAAACTTGAGATCAAGTTCAGCAGATTTTATCTAGCCTTATAATACTTTTCAGCAAGAAACATAATCAACCTGTGAAGTAGTCCCTGTAAACAAAAAGAGAGCTATACAACTACCTTGAAATATATCAGAAGTGAAGCGTGGTTACCGGCTGTATTTGAAAAAGTAGTTCCTCTGTCAAATAGACTAGCAGACTTACATTATGCAATTGACAATAAACACAACAACTAATGGGAGCAGCAAAGCACACACCACCACATAAGCTATCCATATAAAGTCAGGTCTTTCATCTGAATAAATAAGGATGATATTTCTTACCTACAATACTTGTCGTAAGGATGTAAAGCTTTGTTTTTATTGTTCTTATATTAAATGATCTACTGCCTCTAAACAATTATTTTGAATACAAAATAAAACCTGTGTGTTTATTGTTTATTTTTCTAAAAGTGTCTGTATTGTTGCTATACAAACTGTAAATGAACATGTAATGGTTTTAAACATGCAAAAAATACACTTTTTTGTTCTTACCAAGCATTAAAATTAGTATGACCTCGCAGATGTCTTTTTTTATTTATCTCGTTTTTTTGCTGTCTCATAGTGATGTATATACCCCAACTCTGTTTTTATTTCTTAGATAGATTCACTCAATTTCTAAAACATAAATTCATAGAAAGTTTTTCGGGTAAAATGGCAATTCTTTGTCAATCAAGATTGGAATGAAACACACCTCGACACGATCGAGGTTCGATCGTATTCCTATAACATATGACCTCGGGGGCATTAATGTCTACATTGTATTTCTATTCATTTCTGATATTTTCTTTTCACTTATTTTGCTATTAAATTTTTTTATTGACTATATTTTTACTATCAATGTGCACCCCATTAAAAAATGAAAATATAAAAATGAAAACGTTAAAAATTGAATAAGAATGTGAAGTCATATGTTATAGGACTAATTTCAACTCTGTATTAATTGATTTAAATCTTAGATAACATTTTTTTCCCTTTGTTAATTTTATCAGATAAAACAGACCCATCACGGGTGAAATAAGGTCTAAGTATAGTAAAGTAAAATTATCGCTTTTTTTCCCCCGTAAAAGAGGACATAAGAACGCAAACAAAACCTTATTTATTTTACTATTCACAAAGGCATAACCTATAAATATGATATTGTATAGTATTGTTATGGCTTTTTTCATTTGAAACAGAATTTCAAAATGCAATATCACAGCCGTTATTCTCTTCTCATCTCACATAGGAGTAACATGATTCTAGTTACGTGTTTTCATAGTTCACATGTATGAGAAAATACAGTATGTTGCATAGGAACCAATTAACCCTGTAGATTTTCTTAATATTGAATAGTCAAATATTAATGTAACAGATGAATTAATCAATAAATTAATAATAAAACCTATAAAACATATTTGACAGTCTGTAGGAAATCATGCCTGTTATCTGTTCTTTGGTTGTATTCAGCGTTACTTCAAGTGGTGTGAGTGTTGCTTCATGTGTTGTATTCAGCGTTACTTCAAGTGTTGCTTCATGTGTTGTATTCAGCGTTACTTCAAGTGTTGTGAGTGTTGCTTCGTGTGTTGTATTCAGCGTTACTTCAAGTGTTGTGAGTGTTGCTTCAGTTATTGTGAGTGTTGTTTCAGACTGAATAACTGAAAAGAAAATAAACGGTTATGGAAAATATGAAAATATTTTTGAGAGAAGCTTATCAATTTAATTCTTATTAAGTCAGACATTCCTTTTATAATAAATGCATTTCAGAATGCAGTTACTCTTTTTTTTCTTTCTGTTTATAGAAAACTAGGAATACAAAAACTTTTGATTTTTTGTTTCGTTAGCTTTTTAAGTAAACGATATCAACCTGTAAAAATATATAAAATTTCGCTTTTTTTAAAAATCATTTTAATTTTAATTCACTCTCGTAACCACATAAAAAATAATGTCCACAGAATGGATCCTACGCTAACCGTACATATCCAATGTCTTTTCTAAAACTTATTTAGAATAATCTATTATGTTAGATACGGAAGAAGGATTTTTCGTTATAACAATCTGATGTTAACAAATTATTATATTAAAGTATTGAATGAAAATTGATTTAACTAGATATAAGAAGATGTGGTATGAGTGCCAATGCATTGTACGGAATAACTAAACAATATTTTCATCATTGTACAACAGCTCCATGTGTTTTTAGAGCTCATAAGTTTTTTTAGCCTGATAAACACCAGTAAACAAAACAGTACTGTTTTTTTCAGGCATTTGTTTGATTGATTGATTGGTGATTGTTGTTTGCACAACTTTCAATGGCAACTGTTTCATGCCTATTCAGGACTAGAACAAATTAACACTAAGAACAATAAAAAGGTATACAGGGATATAAGGTCTGAAATTTGGAATTTGATGGATATGGACAGAAATTGTACCTTACAGCATGCAATCTACGGCCCCTAGCCAGTTTTCGCAAAGGTTCTTCGACGTAGAGAAAGCGTGCGTGGCACTCATCCTTTACGTGGCATCGGCTTTAACGTCCTCATTTCGAACAGACGTGGCTGCGTATTTATACATCCCAAACAATTAAACGGACGCCCCACTTTAGCAAAGATTTTACTGCCGGACGGGCGAATCCAGGAATGACCATATTTCTACACCCCAATCACCCCTAAGGGTTTGTGACATAGTAATAATTATGTGGTGCTTTGTGTCGTTTGGTTGCTGTATCATTGTTGAATACACCAAATCTATTATTTTTCATATATAGAATATAAACGTATTCACATTAATGTAAATAAATCCAAAATTATTTCAAATAAGTTTGATGTGAGATATGTATTAGACTTAAGTTTGATTGGTTGATTGGTGTTTAACGCCACTTTCAGCAGTGTTGGCTATATAGTGGCGTTTTTACTGGTGAAGGAAGCCAGAGCAAATGATTTTTCTATGTATCCGTCTATTATATTTTAATAAATAAACGCATTCAGAAGGTTAATTTTCTGTATTAAGTCAATCATTTTGTTGACTTTTGAAGCCCAAACTTTCTATTGCTTTAAATGCGCTAATGAGAGATGGAAAAACGATGCCAATACAGACATATAGGTTTTTGAACTTCTAACAAAAAGTTTGGGTGATGAGTGTTTTGTAGTATTAACAAGAAATTGCATTTTCTCCCTACCTCTCATTTTACCCCTTAACACTTAATTTGATATGGACTGTTTATTGTTGTTAAATCTTACGCATTTCTATTTGATGAAGTTATAATTACTTCACCATTTATCTGTTTACCTGTTCAAATTTGTCCTGTGTGTATTCTGTGAGCACGCAAAATTTTATTACGTAACAATAATTATTGTTTATGAAGACAAGGACATTAAAGGCGTCAAGGATGGCAACTCTAGATCCGAAATGTGGCCTTATTTACACCACAAATACACTCTGAGTGCAGGCGAACCTGTGCACCTTGAAAAGTTTTAATGCATGACAGGAACTAGATAATTAAATTCTAAATGCATTTAATGTTTTGGTAAACTATAAACTTCACTTGCTTTTGAGATTCCTTTTTTTTTGTTCCCACAGAAGGTGTCAAAATAAACTAAGTTTGGAATGAAACTCATGTGTTTGTTTAATTTATCACCGTCTGTAGGCTTAAAAAAAGGAATGTCAAATTCTATGTAAGTGTTTAATTTTCTGAATCATAAAATGCATTCAGATTTTTTTAACCTATTTCCTGCCATTCCTTTAAACTTTTCCAGGTACACAGGTTAGTCTGCACTCTGTTGTGGAGTAAACAAGGAGATATTTTACAATTCCTTCTGATGAACCTTTTTTGTTAGATAGATTAGATAAACAGTAAACAAGCCATTTTTTAAATCGTGAAGATTATATATAAAAGAATTACTCCCATAAAATTGCTACACAAATATAGAGCATACTAATGTAAAGAAGATATTTCAAATGTTTTTTTTTTACAAAAATCTGGGTGCTTGTGTTTATCTTAATAAAAAATAGGTATCTTCCTGAAGGATTGAAATTTCCAAGAAACCAAAGTTTTGATTAGAATCTAAAATTTCGACCCCATTTATCTCTAAAAGTAGCACAAGAAGAAATATTTTCTATTACATACTGTATTTGAATTGACTCTGTGAAAAATAGAGTGTACGCAATTTTTCGTTAAAAAAATCACCGTGAGATGAAAACTGTATCGTATGCCCTTAATGAAAGTTAAGTTTGACGTATGATGTTATGGAAATTAGCTTTGACGTAGAATATTTGACGTAAGATAACAATGGAAGTTAAGTTTGAAATAAGATTTTAATGGAACTTAAATTTTACGTAAGATATTAATTGAACGTACCTGTTGTATCTCCATAGCAATTTATTATAAACGTAGATGAAAGTAATGTCAGGGAAAAGGGCATATAAACTAAATCCATAGTCATCATATTAGAGCCATAACTGATTGACAAAATTATAACTTCCTTTTCAAATAAAATTCTAGATACATTCTTTTCGTTGTTTCCAATAAATGAAGTCTCATTACGAGGAAAATTTCTAAAAAATTATAATATGAAATACCAAACGGTTTAACGCAATGAATATGGATAAGATGACAAAACCGTATATGTTACAATATGAATGTACCATAGAATTTAAATCTTTCTTCTATTGTTCGAACGGTGAATTATCTAAAGCAAAATCAAACTTAATATATAAATGCTGACCTTTTGGCATTTATTTTCTATTTACTTTTATCCCTTCAAGGTGATTTAAATAACAATTTAACATATTATAGTGGTGAAAAACTCCTAATAAGTGCATTTGCATTATTCACGTATCTGGCAACATGCACGGATCGACGTATACATATCGGGCAGATTTGTATAAAATAATGATTTAGCCCCTACCTCAATTAAAACAAAATTAAAATTAAATGCATTATAAAATATCTTCATCGGGACCAACTTGACTTAATTTGTTCATATAATAAGAAGTCTGTTTGTTTGGTCATTTACTTTCAATAAATATTCAACTTGTTTCACTTTTATTTGTTCAAGGTTTTAATTGGCTAAATATTATTCCTTCAAGGTTAAACATTTGATTGCAACCAAAATACGTTTGATAGCTTTTAATTTGTTATAACCACTCACGTTCGAACCAATAATTGGGTCTTCTGCATATTCATACTATGAAATATCAACAGAGAGTCACAATATGAAGAATTTTGTCGAGTGAGGGCAGCGAAGTTCTTCTGTACTAACATGAAAATACGGAAATTGTTGTATTGAAACTCACTGTTATGGATCTTAAAAAAATGCTTAAAATTAAGAAATGTATCTCTCTCACACATAGCTTTTATTCCTTGACCGGGTTATGCTAAAATAATTTATCATTTTAGCTATATAGGTTGTATCAGCATTTCAAAAGTTTGAATTAGGTTTTCGATTTTCCAATATTATGGCCTCGAGCACCGTTTGTGCACGCGCCAGATATGAAATATATACCTAAGTAATGTAAATCAATTATGTACAGCACATACATATGAAAGAAAACAAATAGATAAATATATTGTTTGTTTTATATGGCATGTATACCAGGGACTCGGTTTCATACTAATATTGTTCTGGGCTGCAAATTTTGGGCTAAATTTATAATGGGAAAAATGGGTTGACACCCATTATTCCTTTAAATAATATCATAATCTCAATATGAAAATGATTTTTTAATACAAGAAGCAAATGGAAGAACAATCTTTATTCATTTGGCTCCTGAGTTATGAAGATAAAAAATGTTTTACATGTTCGACAACCTGCGAGATTTATAACAGTAGACAACAAATCCAGAGAAGTTGGTTGCGTCTCAAACACGCTCACTTAACTGAAATTACGAGACATTTAGACAAGACGCTCAAGTCAGAAGCTAATATTTCTGTCGAGGTGGTCGAGGGGCTGGTTTCTCAGTGCTATAGAACCAGACAATTTAAAAAAAAAAGCTCGTCCAAAAAGAACAATAAATTGCTGCCAAGGGATTTAACAATTATCAGTCAAGAAATGTTGTGAAAAAACATGCAATCTAATTAAAATTAAATCCTTGAATTGCTCTTGTTCTGATATGTCGCGCATCAAGATTTAATTTTAATAAGATTGAAAAACATGGAGATCAAGAATTACACAAAGTGTTTTGAGATCTGGACGAGCAAAATACCACAATATTCTGACTCATTTTTCGTAAAAACAGTATTCGAGTGGAGCTACCTTGAAGAAACTGTAGTGCACACACCGAGCGTTGACAGTCAGCCGTTCAGAAACTGCTCTCGTGCACCGTCAATACATCGACGGCGCTCTCTCTATCGTTGTATTAAAGCCAGTATTGGTATCCACAACGTATTCCTACAGATACAGATCTAGAATGATCATGGTACTAGATCGAAATATACTAGGAGGTGTCCCCTCTGCATGGATATTTTGTTAATGACCATGATCGTAAAACTTTGAAACTGTTTTTTTTTACTACAGGAGTCACCTACACCTACTTTTAACCATAGTGACGCCCTACCCCTTTGACTTGTCAGAGAGAAGATCTCGCCATCTCGCTATTTGCATGACAGAAGCAATTATCTCCAATTTGCTTCCACTAATTTTATTTCTCCATGACAATATTTGCACATTATTTGGGGTTGGCCCGAGAGGTATGTCTTGGGTCATTTTTAGAGTAAAATGGAAGCCTGGGATCCTGGCTGACTGCTCGACAGAAGAGCAAGGCGGAATACAACATAGTTTGGCAATTGGATATTAGGATTATATTGTTATAAATTCATTGCAAATTATTTTTAATTTTATTTGACATGCAAATTTCAAAAAAATAGATTTAATGATTAACATCGTGAATCATTTCGGTTAATTAACGATCCGATCGACAACATATTAGATTTGGTAAAGTTGCCGGGCTATAAGGCGGTGTGGCACTGGGTGGGTTCATATATATCTGGAGTACTGGGTAATAAGCAGCTGTTGGGATCGAGGAAATCGGGAATATTTTGGTCTTTTCTGGTTGTAAATTTTTATAGAACGGAAATTTGGTAGCGGAATTTTTTAAGCTTCTTGACCAGAAAAATTCAGTAGGCATGTATATTAATATATATTATCCGTCTAAACATCAGCCTAACAATGTTAGATCTGTAAATTTGCGTTAGCAAATTTTTTGTTCTTACCTCGCCGGGATTCGAACTCATGCTACTGAGATATCGTGGCACCAAATCGCATTGCACTGCGACCGACGCTCTAGACCACTCGACCACCTAAGCTATGTCAGCCCTTTCCCCTCCTGTCAGAATAAAATGGTCCGATAATAGCATTTAAGGATTAATAGAAATCATTTATTACTAGTAGTTGGGTTTTCCAGTAATGATGTAGCCTTTTATAGCCGACTATATGGTATTAGGTTTTCTCATTGTTGAAGGCCGTAAGTTGCCTATACTTGCTTACATCGACTTTATTTGAACTTCGCTTTGGTGGATAGTTGTCTCATTGGCAATCATACGCTTTATTACACATCTCCTTGTTTTATTTACCTGAATAATCTAGTCGTTATATTCCGCTAACCAACGACTATTTCATTAACCTCGCATGCAATTAGGAGAGATCGATTACGTGGAGGGACTGGACTATTCGGGATGTATTTTTACATAGTTTCGGTTCTCGAACGAAACACCACATTAGAAAACAAAATAAAACTGGGATCCTGTAAACATGCAATTGTTTTGTTTTGCTTTCATTTAGACGCATTTGCTGTACTTAATTGATTTAAATTACTTACATTGTAGGTATACATTCCATATGGAGGTGCTCCTACTTACAGGAGGCTTATACACCGAAGGAGAAACCGAGCGTCATCCGTCGTCATGATGATCGTTAGCATAATACAACGATGACTTTTCACACATCGACATTTCACACATTAACATTTAACGAATCGACATGTTACAAGTTACAAAACATCAATATACAAATTGACAATTTACGAATTAAGAATTTTGAAATAACAAAGATACAAGTTACAAATTGACAATTTACGAATTAAGAGTTTTGAAATTACAAAGATACAGGTTACAAATTGACAACTTACACATTGGTAACTTACACATTGACAATTTACGCATTAAGAATTTTGACCCCTTTGGCTTTCCATAGATATTTAGATAGCGCTTTTACATTTGGCATCCATCGTCTCCGTTTAAATCAGTTCACAAACTAGAACAAGCTGTGGTCCGCACCCCCAAATCTCCAGCAGAATTGCTCCTGCTAAATTTTGGTCCCGCGAGGCGGATGTGGAGTTTTAAAGCAACTTTTCTGGTTTGTAATTGAACTAAATTATTTTGGGGAAAATTTATAAGAAATGGAGCGGACATTTGAGTCAATGCTTGATGTAATTGGATATGAAAGTCCTAAGCATACCAGTTTTGAAGAGTTGGGAGGATAGTTGTTCCTGGAGTATTTTATTTTCATATAGTTTGGTTCATGTAAATGTGTATTCAGTTATGATTAGGTTCGAAGAAAAACCTTGTTTGTTTGATGGTGTCAGCATTGATATCACCGATTACTTTGTTCATTTTGAGACAGTTTCTCTTTGGAATAAGTGGAATGAATTTGAGATGGCATGTCAGTTAATAATGAATTTGAGAGGTGATGCTCAAATTATTTTACGTTTCTTAAAAAGGCCACAGTTGTATGATTATGACTGCTTGAAAAATGTTCTCATTCAGAGGTTCAATCCTTATAAGGAGAGGGTGGCATATTTTAAATTTCAACTGCGAGTTTGTAGTTTGAAAAAATATGAAAAAAAATCTGAATTTGGTCAGCGTTTTAAGATACTAGCTCACAAGGCTTATCCTGATAATTTTTCAGATTTAGATGTGTATTTTACTGACTTATTTACATCATGTTTGAATATTGAGATGGCTACATTTGTCACGTTTAAGCGCCCTTGTAGTTTAGATGAGGCTTTATCACTGGCTATTGAATATGAAGCTGTTCATTTTTCTGGTGATCCAGAGACTAATGATAAGGCAGAAAGATCAGATTTGGTTTATACTGTTCATAACAGTCTTGACATTTTGGTAAATGTTTTGAAGAGACGGGTTAAATCACGCAGGAAACGTAAACCTAAGAAGTGTTTTAAATGTCATGAGTCAGGTCATGTCAGGTCTAAGTGTCCAAATATGTCTTATCAAAGTTCACGCTATAGTTGAAAAGTCTGCAGACAATCAGATTAAATTTTCAAATGGTATATTAAAGAACGATTTGAATCACAATTTTTGTAGTTCAGATTGTGTTACCTTTGTTTAATGTTTGTTTTTGTATTGTGTTATATTTATATAATTTACTTCAGTTTTATTTCAATGTACTCATGAGATGTCACACACCTCAGTTTGGCTGTTTGGTTTTCCCTTTGCCGTGCATCTATCCTAGTTATATTATTTTTCATTTATAATACTTATTTTGTGGCTGTTCTTTTGTGTGTAGTTTGAAGTGTAGACCGTTAGCTAGTTCTATTAGGAATTGGTTTGTTTATCAGTTGTTGCTAATTTGTCTGGATTGTAATCTCTAGCTAAATATTTAGTA